GGGCCCTATCCAACAAAATGAATTTTAATGTGGAGAAAAGCAAAGTTTTACATTTAGGGAGGAAAAATCAAATGTATAAGTACAGATTAGGTGAGACCTCTCCCAAAAACAGTATCTGTGAGAGGGAGCTTGGAGTCCTAGTGGATGATCACTTGAATATGAGCCAGCAGTGTACAGCAGCTGCCAAAAAAGCTAAATGCAATCCTGGGTGGTATAAACAGAGGCATAGAATCAAGATCACGTGAAGTTTTAGTGTCACTTTATAAACCCTAGTACAGCGGTGGCTAACCTTGTTGGGCTCCTATGCCAAAAATTAGCACCCAGAAGGCATTGCGTGCGCATGCGCGCGGCCCCTCCACACCCCCTGTGCATGCGCACACGTTCCCCCCCACTGCCCCCTTACCTTCACTGGGCATGTGCACGCCTCTCAGCTGTTTTTCAGCCTGTTTGAGGCCTTTTCCGGCCAGAGGCTCGAGGGAAGCCTCTGCAGCCTTTGGAAGCTGAAAAATGGGCCTGTTTTGTCACTTCTGGTATTTCCAGAAATACAGGAAGTATTGAAACGGGCCTGTTTTTCGGCCTCCAAAGGCTGCAGAGACTTCCCTCGAGCCTCTGGGAAGTCGAAAAAGGCCTCAAAACGGGCCGAAAATCAGCTGGGAAATGCATGCATGCGCAGTGAGGTAAGTTTGGCTGGGGCTCACATGCCTGCACAAATGGCTTTTGCGTGCCACCTATGGTACATGTGCCATAGATTCACCATCATGGCCCTAGTAAGACCACGTCTGGAATACTGCAACCAATTTTGGTCACTATACTGCAAAAAAGATGGTGAGACTTTGAAAAAAAAATTTTTAGAGAAGAGCAACTAAGATGATCAAGGGCCTAGAGACTAAAACATATGAATAACGACTGTAGGATTTGGGTTTGGCTAAAGAAAAGAAGAATTAGGGATGACGTGATAGCAGTATTCCAGTATTTGAGGGGCTGCCACAAAGAAGAGGGGATTATTCTACAAAGCACTAGGGGGCAGGACAAGAAACAACGGTTGGAAACTAATCAAAGAGAGAAGCAACCTCAAATTAAGGAGAAACTTCCTAACTGTGAGGAGAATTAACCAGTGGAATAGCTTGCCTTCAGAAACCATGGGTGCTGCATCACTGGAGGCTTTTAAGAAGGAACTTGGCAGCCATTTATCTGAAATAGTACAGGGTTTCCTGCTTGAGCAGGTGGCTGGACTAAAAGACCTCCACGGTCCCTTCCAGCTCTATTCTATTCTGAATTTAGCCATTTCTGCTTTATCTTCCTTCTGTGGAAATAGCATGTATTTCTATTTGCACCTAATAATCTTTGTGAATATCACCATTTATATTAACAAGGTTCACTGTATTCTTTCAAATTCTTTGACCTTACTGGGAAAAAAAAATTTTTTCATCCTTTTTAAAATGCTAAACTTTTCTTTAAACATATTTCTAAAATAAAAACTTTCTAATACATCTTTTTCTTTTAATTTCTTAACATACATGCTTTGAACTTCAGTATTAAATTTAAGTCCCTCCCTCCAAACCACTCTCATAGAGTAATTATTTTAAACATCCTTTTTAAGACTCTAAATTTTTCTTTAAACTAATACATTTTCTTTGACTTTCTCTTAACACAGATTAAACACATTTTCAATAACATTTTGCATACTTTAAGAATTGGGCATACTTGGGCATTATATAAGTTACATTTTCAAATTTTAGAATAAGACTTTCTTTCAATTACAAATATCAAACAGATAAAAATCTGTCCTAGATCCAGTTAATACATTAAGTTTAAGTCACTCTTTCCAGTTATCTTCATGGAGTAAAATCTTTTTCTTGTCTGGAAAGTTTATCAAGTAGTTCTTAAGCCTCCCTTTTTCTCAATAATTTCTCAACCTTGCTAATGTCATTAAAGAAAAAGTCCCAAATTGTCTTTTTAAAAGTTGCAAATATTCTTGAAGCTCTTCTTTCAGTTGTGTTCAGAGATTTACATTTAAACTGTCATAGTAAAAGTTGGTGTCAGGTTTATATTCCAAAATTTCAATTAACTCCTCTGCATTTTTAGCTATTTGTGAAGATGCCTTGGTACTTTGGTTACTTCCTACACATTTGCATCTCTAAAGTCGTTTGAGAATTTTTTTATCATCCTTGGAGCACAGCTGGTCTACAAACTGGTGGATTTTATTTAGAGAATTTTCAAATACATTTCTAATAATTTGCTCCTCCATCTCGACTCCTTTGCTCAATGAGTAGCTTTTTTGTAAGTCACTTAGAGATTGCGAGCCATTCACGAAATATAAAAATCAGAAAGTTTTAGCCATCCATAGCAAAGCAGACCAAGCTACAAATGACTACAAATAATAAACTAAAACCACAACTTTCTGCCTTTATGTTTCTCTGACAGCTTTTTTCTTTTCTTTTTTTCTCCAAACTTCCTTATTTTGGCTTGCCTTAGCAGCCTTTTTCCTTACTATTTAACATTGAAGAAATCACCAAATTGACACAGGTGTAGTAGGCTCTGACTAAAGAGAGTCTCTTTTGATTTAGTAAAGATTAATATTCCTGAAAGGCGATTAAGAAATGAAAGGCATAACTTACTGTCCATTTGAAAAGTAAATTTCAAAATGGAGGCTTCTTCAATGAGGATTGCAGCCCCTCCCTCCCCCAGGTTTTCGCACGCAGTTGCTTTGAAGCACAACTCCTGAAGTTACTTGCAGAGCTGTAACTTCGGTAAGATCTTGTAGGGTAATTTTAAGACTCTCCCTAACCCAGGTGAGTCATATAAACTGAAGGAATGCCACTTCCTTCTGTTAGTAGTTGAAGAGCTACATCTCAGAGAAAAACCCTTCAGGGATCTCTCCCTGGGTATGTATTTAGTTGGCCATTTTCATCGGAAGTCCCCCAATAGCGTTCATTTTTGACGTTTTGGAAACAGTTTTGAGATTTGGAGCCTCTTTGGTGTAATTTTGCATTCCATTCTCAGGCTCCTCTGTCTGTGGCTAGCCAGTTTATTCTGGATTGACACCTCTGTTCCTTATCAGTCTGTCACACATATACACACACCTTTACTATCCATTTCCATGCCCATGCCTTACTTCCTCAATTGCCTTCTCCTTCCCTTGCATTTTAGGACAGGATGCCAGTGAAGTGAAGTATGCTGAAGATGGCAGGCCTGACATCAATCTACATTCCAATACCAGGAAAAAGAGATTTAACAAAATCATGCAAACTATCATACAATATCCTGAATTTCATATAACAAAATCATGGTCAGAATCGTTCAACACCAATTATGAAAATAGGGTAAATAAATGCCAGAAGTTCAAGCTGATTTTAGAAAAGTTTGAGGAACACAAAACATTTTGATCCTGATAGATAATTGAAAAAGCTGAAGAATACTAAAAAGAAGTCAGTGTAAGCTCAATTAATTATAGAAAGGCCGTTGATTGTGTTGAGCATGTCAAGCTGGAGAATGCGCTTAGCAAAATGGGAATCCCAGAACATCCAATTCTCTTCATGACAAACTTGTATACTGGTCACAAAAGTACAGCATGAGCAGAATTGTGCTCCAGATTGACAAAGGAGTGTGACAAAGCTGTATATTCTCCCATTATTTATTCAACCAAATACCGAATATTGCTAAAGAAAGCTGTATTGGAAGAAGATAAATATGGGCTTAAAATTGGAGGAAAAAACATCAATAATCTGGGCTATGAAAATACAAAGGAGCTACAATTTCTAGTAATAAAAATCACAGTGCACAGGGGAAAATGGAGTTACAATTAAATATAAAAAGGACCAAAATAATGATAATGTGCAACCACCAGCTTTAGAATTGATAATGAAAATATATATGATCATCAGCCGTAAAGAGATAAACAGTCAAAAACATGCTACAGACCAGGAAGCAGTCATGAAGGCCTTGGAAAAGATGAGAATTGTGTAAGCCATAGTATTTCCAGTGACACAATATGGAAGTGAAAGTTGGACTTTGAGGAAGCATGGTAGGAAGAACATGATGCTTTTGAAAATACTGTCGAGAACCAAGAAAACAAACTAACGGATCACTGAACAAGTAAAGAGATTTCACTTTGGGCACAAATAACTAAGCTCAAATTATCTTACTTTGAACACATTATGCAAAGACCTAGCTCTCTGAAGAAGACTCCAATGCTGGGAAAGGTGGAAGGAATGAAAGAAGAAAGAAGGGCAGCAAGGTGAGTAGACTCAATTATCTTGATGGTGAGTGAACCACAGGACATGAGTTTACTATTTCACTGAAAGATAAAAGATTAAGCTAGAGACAGATGGTCATGGAGAAAATCTATACGGTTGTTGAGAATCAACAATGTCTTGATGACTCATAATTAAATTATCAATCCAAATATACTTTGAGAAGTTTGGCACTTACATATTTCAGACATGATGAAATATCCACTAGTATTTTGAAAAATACAAGGTGCTGACTACCATGCCATTGCTAAGGAAAACTTGAACAGTTTTTTTCAGCAGTTGGACCAGTTTTTGCACAGCTACTGTAAAATGTAATTCTTTCTTTTGAGATTACAGTGATTTTATTGTCAGATCCTTAATTGATTCCTTCTCAAATACTTCACAATCAATAAGATCCCTTGATCAAAAATAATAAAATGAGACATAATATATGTATGTAAATATAAAACAGTTTTCCTCATCATTTAAGCAATGATCAGGATATACAAAACAGTTTAAAGAGGTGTTTTGCAAACTATGTTAACATTAATAAAGTATCCCTCTTCTAGGTGTTAAAGTACCTGCATTGTTTGTGTGCAGGCAGTGGGACCATCACTGACAATTATATGAGCCTTCGAGAGAATGTCAAGTTAGAATTGATAAAAAGTACTTTTGTCAGGCTAACAAGTTTTATGAAAGCACCTCTTTCAAATGCTTTGAAGAACTCAAATTTCTAATAACAGGACAAGAGTAGTAAAATTATTTTACCTGAAAAGTGGTTCTTTTGGAGAACTTTGGGCTCTTGGTATAGGCTAAAGTAGTGATAATATCTTCATCAGACATGTTGCTTGATCTGAGGAAATTAACCTTACATATTCAACTTGTAGTCTTGTAAAGATGTATTTTCTTTTGAATTTAATAAAAGAGAGAAAAAAATATTTAAACGATACTGTATTCACATTATCTAAAGGAGTATAAGTACTGTTTTCTTAAAAACATCATACACTATAATCTAATTTTTAGCAGGTTAAAGCAGCCGTGACAAATTTGTGAAGAGCAAAATTGATAGTAATGTCCACACTGCACTGCTTTTGACATGGCACTTTATGGCATCTACTCTACCATCTATCATCTTGCCCGGTTCATAGAAATGCCTTCTGGAAATCTGTTGTTTTCAACATACTTGTAATTGTCCAGCCTATGAGATGTTCTTTAGACCATTGCGCACCTTTCCTGAGATAAGCTTGCTGGATTGGCTGAATCCAGAAAGTGGCAAATGTTTCTTTGTATGATGGAGTGGGGCTACTAGCCTTAAAAGAAGCAATGCTAATTCCAAATTACATAGATTTAGCATTCGTGAGAGATACTGCTAAAACAAGTCTCTTGAGTGTGCATCAGTATACAGACAGTCCTCACCTTACGACCACAATTGAACCCAAAATGTATTGTTAAATGAGAAATTTGTTGAGTTTTACCCCATTTTACAACTTTTCTTGCCACATTTGTTAAGTGAATCACTGCAGTTCTTAAATTAGTAACATGACTGTTAAGTGAATCTGTTTCCCCAGTGACTTTGCTTGTCAAAAGGTCACAAAAGGGGGTCATCTGACTCCAGGACGCTGCAACCATCATAAATGTGAATCGGTTGTCAAGCATCCAAATGTAAATCACATGACCAAGGGGATGCTGCAACGGTCGTAAGTGTGAAAAATGGTCATAAGTCATTTTTTTCAGTGCCATTGTAACTTCCAACGGTCCCTAAATGAACTGTTGCAAGTATTTAACAAAATGAAATTCAATGTAGAGAAAAGTAAAGTCCTACTGTTAGGATATATGTGCAGAGTAACCCTTGTATAAAAAGGATATGCACACGGAAACGGTTTATGAGAACAGTTATGAATAAATATACAGTCACACGGAGTTGAACAAGTTATATTAATTTTTACTTGAAGAAATAGCACAGTCCAATAAATAGTCCATGTCATACATGTTTTTTATCAGTCCAGAAGTATCCAGTTATAAAGTCTACTTACCAGTTTCAAGTCTTTTACAGCAGACAAATATCAAACCATAATACAACAGATAATCTTCGATATCAACAGAATATCAAAATAAACAGTGTTAGTCAGTATTGGTCCATAGTCAGTTAATATTAGTATTAAGAGAGATCATCAGTGAAAAAGAAGAAAGAGAATTAAACCATGATCTATAGCTCCCTCTTATGGCAACTTGTAGCATAATTAACCAACCAGAACACAGCATAATACATTACAGTATTTTTCCTTAAAGCTACAAACATATATTTGTAGTTTATATATTGTCAACCCAACTATGTTATTTACATATACATAACACCTACACTTAGGCAAGAAAAACCAAATGTACACATATAGACTGGGTGAAACCAGGCTCAATAGCAGGAACTGTGAGAGGGATCTTGGAGTCTTAGTGGACAACCAGCTAAATATGAGCCAGCAGTGTGCAGCAGCAGCAGCAAAAAAAGCTAATGCAATCCTAAGTTGCATTAACAGAGAGATACAATCGAGATCAAGTGAGGTACTAATACTACTTTATAAAGCCTTAGTAAGACCACATCTAGAGTACTGCAGTTTTAGTCACCACACTATAAAAAAAGATGTTGAGACTCTAAGAAAAAGTATAGAGAAGAGCAACCAGGATGATCAGGGGACTGGAGACTAAAACACATGAAGAACGTTTACAGGAACTGGGCTTGGCTAGTCTAGTGAAGAGAAGGACCAGGGGAGACATGATAGCAGTCTTCCAATATTTGAGGGGCTGCCACAGGGAGAAAGGGGTCAAGCTATTTTCTAAAGCGCCTGTAGGCCATACAAGGAATAATGGATGGAAACTGAACAAGGAGAGATTTAACCTGGAAATAAGGAGAAACTTTCTGACAGTGAGAACAATCAACCAATGGAACAGCTTGCCCTCGGAAGTTGTGGGAGCGCCATCACTTGAAACTTTCAAGAAGAGATTGGACTCCCATATGACAGAAATGGTGTAGAGTCTCCTGCTTGGGCAGGAGGTTGGACTAGATGACCTACAAGATCCCTTCCAACTCTGATTACCTGTTATCTGTTAAGTTGAGGACTACCTATACTGCATGTACTTATTTGGGAAGGTACAGAAAACAGAATGACTTGCAAATTAGTCTTTCAATTAAAGATACCAGTTGGCATAAAGATTGGACCTTTAGCCATGCTTACGCAATACTGGTCAAAATGTATTAAACCTGATTGGTATTACAACCTTAACAGTTACCAGGAAACACTATGTGCATGGCTAAAGCTGGAAACTATTATATCTTACTAAAATGATTTATGTATCATTCATCAAAGTCATAAATGAGTAGTCAATATGCATGTTCTGTTGAGAGTAATGTAGAAAATTACAAATAGAACCATGGACATGGGTTGCAAGTAGCAAAAGATGTACAGGTATAGTAAATAATAATCATGTAAACCAGACTTAGTTTGATTTCATTTTTTTCTTTTATTTCCTGTTTTCTTTTATTATATGTTTACACTTTTTCTGCATTATGCATAAAGAAAACATTTATGCATGTATCACAAATCATTGTCCCTCTTTTTATGCAGAGGCAGATATTTTTGGAAGAAATTCATTATCTTGACCCATTTCAACAAGGGCTCTCTTGAACCTACTGCATCTCATAGATATGTCCAGCTCTATTACCATGGTATCCTTCTGAATAATCTCTGTTCTGGAGATTAGATGCACTGTTTCTTATTTGCCCTGATGATTTTGGTAAATAGTAATGTGACTCCATCATTTTTTATTTATTTATTTGATTTGATTTGTCAATCGCTTACAAGATAATAGGTATAAGTAAAAACACAGTTATGAATACATGGATACATATAAGAAAAATAAAAAGAAACAATAGGACAGGGACGGTAGGCACGTTGGTGCGCTTATGCACGCTCCCTACAGACCTCTTAGGAAAGGGGTGAGGTCAATAGTAGACAGTCTAAGGTTAAAGTTTTTGGGGTTTGGGATTTGCCCACTCTAGGAGCAGTACTATGAGATTCATTGCTATATTTAGATAATTCATTCCTGGCGTTATTTTATTAAATTTTTTACAAATGTGATTGTAAAATCTCATCGCTATTTATAGAAATTATGAGAAGTATTGTTTCTTATGCAACCATGGGAACACATTGGAATTATTCCATCATTAAGGACAATGAGATGATGGTATATGAGCCCTGATTCTTAAACTGTTTGACCCCAATGACCC